GAAGCACTGTCTGACGTGTCTGCCTCCGCGACCCGAAAGGAGAAGCGGCGATGGAAGATGAAGATGATGATGAAGACTGGAAGTTTAAAACTAAAGGAGAAACTCGAATGAGACACTGGCCCTGTTCCGAACTGCATAAAGTTATTAAAAATTTTTAACATTAATCTGTCACACAAGTGATGAACGGTGGACTAGCTCTATAGGTACATCAGCATTTGTCACGTCAGCGATAAACGATATAAGTGCATCTTATGGTAAGGATCCACGAAAACTCCATGTTGACATCATTTCTACGTTTCTGCGAAAAGAGGATAGCACAATGTCTCATTATTCACTACTGTATGAGAGCTGAATTATGGACCCATATCATTCCAACTGTCAATAGTGGGACATTCCTTATCATATTCAAATTTGCCTAAAATGGGAAAGTCTGTTTTTATTCAAACCTTCATTGCAGAATTAAAGAAAGCTTTATTTTCCTTCTTTGAAAGAATATTAAATATCGTGTGATGCGACAAGTAGCCTTAAAGATGTAAAAAGGAACCGTAAAAAACTGAGTTTTACAAGAATTTCTCGGTAAGGACAAATACTGAAACGACCACGACTGAAACAAATTGAACGATCGTCAGTGACCCTATGAGCAATGACGGCCGTCGCTGCAGAGGCACATTTCAGTATTGTCTGTCTAACAAGACGAACTCCCTCTCCTATTATCTGTCGGAGACACTTACGCTGAACCTGAAATGCAGTAAATCACGTAACTCACTGATCGAATGCAAAAACTGCGCATTCATAAATCATTTTTAAATTACGGTACAGAAACATGACACTCTCTTTCACGCACCTCGTCTGGAAGAGGTACTCAGCGAAAGTGGCCGTGTACAATCTGAACACGTGCTGCTTCTTCGTATAATCGCCGGCGCGTTCACAGAAAGCGTGGTGTATACGAATGGCGTTGCGGAACGTGTGGTACGACTTGCGTTTAAACCCGTGTTCATCCTGACGCCGAACAAATGAAAATATAAAACGTACAATAATCCGTAAGAAAAATAAATATAGCCGCTACCTTATGCAAGTAAATGATCATGCCTTTCAGGGTGGCGTAAAACATGCGCCAGCTGCGACGTCCCAACGGCACTAAGCGAGAGACGTATTTAAATTAGAACGAGTTTATAAAATACGACAACAAAGAGAGGCATACTTTTGCGGCCGTCGCTGTCGACGATGCACTTCCTCAATACCCAACCTTTCTTGTACTCGACTTGGGAATCCGGGTCTGGAATCTAAATCGACGCCATCAATGTTACTATTAAAATATGGGTTAAACATTCAATGAGGATTACTAAATGTCGATTATAGTTCAAGACAACTGAAATGCACCAAGCGCAATAGACTTTAAAATAACTTTCGTGCATGTCGATCAACAACGGAAGGGCGAAGTCTGTTGTCAGTGGCAACAAATAAATGAACACAGAAGACAACAATCCTGGGTGACAAGACATTAGTAACGACCAAAGTGAGAAAGAGCGTAAGCGGGCACATCCAGGACGCACTGATCACCCTGTACCGCGAATATCCACCGCAACAGGACGGGAAGCATGGGCGGATTAGACGGGATTTTAGCGGTCGTCACTGAAAAACTACTACGACAGCAGCTAGAACCTGACAGCTTGCCCTACAACTGGTTGCAAGCCGACCGACTTCTCCAGATGACATCAATACCAAATGCAGTACACCAGCCATATTTCGAAGTCTCACCATACAGACCAAAAGTCTATAGGAGACTCATACCAGTTCTGTTTAAATACTGTACACCCTCATTAGGTAACAAAGAACAAAGTGGAGCGATACGCTGTGAAATCTGATTTTGGAGAAGTGTGAAATAGCTCAGCGTACGAATACACTTTTAAGTTTAAGCAGCAACAAACAACGACGACTACTAACCTTCTGAAATATTTTTCGTAATGAGCATGAGGTGGCTCTAACCTGTGAAATGACACAAAATTCGTATGGCATTGCAGAAGGTCAAATACAATGGAGCCGTTGGACAGCACTAATGACCTCACTGGGAAGTAGGACTAAGGGGGCATTGCGCTCTATGACATACTGTTTTGGTGATTATCATAGCCGTAGCAGTATAATAACAATTCCAAAAGCATAACTAATTTCGAATAACAATGTTCTGCGGGACACCTACAACAAAGCGATATATGCGATCTTCTGTTCAGAGGGATGATATGACGAAAACCTCGAAGCAACATCATTAAGCAAGATTTTTAAGTTATGATCATTCAAGTTGTATTAATGATAC